CATGGTGCCAGGGGGGCGGCGGAGGTGCCTGTGGTGGTGGTGGTGGTGGTGGGGCTGTGGCTGTGCTGGGTGCGTGGTTGTGGGGTGGCCGTGCCCTCGGTGGGGCTTTGTCCGTGGTGGCTGCGTGTCCCCGGTGGTGCCGTGGCCGTAGCGGTGACGTATCCGTGGTGGTGCTGTGCCCGTGGCAGTGCTGTGCCCGTGACATTGACGTGTCCATGACATTGACGTGCCCATGGTGGTGACGTGTCCATGACACTGGCATATCCAAGGTGGTGACGTGTCCATGGCAGTTGCATGACCGGGGTGGTGCCGTGCTCATGTGGTGGTGGTGGCATGCCCATGCTGCTGGTGATGCCATGCTCGTGGTGGTGCCATGCCCATGGTGCTGATGGTTCCAGGCTCATGGTGGTAGTGCCATGCCCATGGTGCTGGTGGCAGTGGTGCCATGCTTGTGGTGGTGGTGGTGGTGGTGCCATGCCCATGGTGCTGGTGGCAGTGGTGCCATGCTCATGGTACCGGTGGTGCCATGCTTGTGGTGGTGGTGCCATGCCCATGGTACTGGTGGTTCCAGGTTTGTGATGGTGGTGCCATGCTCATGGTGCTGATGGTGCCACGCTTGTGGTGGTGGTGCTGTGCTCGTGGTGGTGGTGCCGTGCTCTTGGTGGTGCTATCATGCTCGTGGTTGTGGTGGTGCCATGCCCATGGTACTGGTGGTGGTGGTGGCATGCCCATGGTGCTGGTGGTGCCGTGCTCGTGGTGGTGGTGCCATGCTTGTGGTGGTGGTGGTGCCATGCCCATGGTACTGGTGGTTCCAGGCTTGTGATGGTGGTGCCATGCTCATGGTGATGGTGGTGGTGCCATGCCCGTGGTGGCAGTGGTGCCATGCTCATGGTGCTGATGGTGCCACGCTTGTGGTGGTGGTGCTGTGCTCGTGGTGGTGGTGCCGTGGTCTTGGTGGTGCTATCATGCTCGTGGTTGTGGTGGTGCCATGCCCATGGTACTGGTGGCACCGTGCTCGTGGTGGTGATGCCATGCTCTTGGTGGTGCTATCATGCTCATGGTTGTGGTGGTAGCATGCCCATGGTGCTGGTGGCAGTGGTGGCATGCCCATGGTGGTGGTGGTGCCATGCCCATGGTACTGGTGGTGGTGGTGGCAGTCCCATGGTGGCAGTGGTGGTGACCTGCCCATGACAGCACCACGCTCATGGCAGTTGCGTGCCCATGGTGGTGCCATGCCCGTGGTGGTGGCACGTCCACGACGGGACAACGCTCGCAGCAGCCGCGTGCCCGTGGCACTGGCGCGGCGCTGAGTGGCTGCCCCCCAGCATGCTGATCACCTACGACGACGTGGTGAAGATCTCCGACTTCGGCACCTCCAAGGAGCTCATCGACAAGAGCACCAAGATGTCCTTCGCCGGCACCGTGGCCTGGATGGCGCCCGAGGTGATCCGCAACGAGCCCGTCTCCGAGAAGGTCGACATCTGGTGAGGGCACGGGGACACCGGGGACCTCGGGGACAACAGGGAGCCGTGGTGGCACCGGGGACGCAGCAACACGGGGGCTACCGGGAGCTGGTGGCAACCCTGGGGACACCGGGGACACTGGGGACATGGGGGGTGGACAGCAGGGACACCGCAGGGGAACGGGGATGGGGACAATGGGGAGGTTGAGGGGGATTTTGTAGGGACATCGGGGACACCAGCAGGGAGGGGACACCGGGGGCGAGTGGAGGGGGACCGAGGGGACAGGGTGAGGCCACCGGGGGTGCCCGGGACCGTGGGTGACGCTGCGCCCAGGTCCTTCGGGGTGGTGCTGTGGGAGCTGCTGACGGGCGAGATCCCCTACAAGGACGTGGACTCCTCGGCCATCATCTGGGGTGTGGGCAGCAACAGCCTCCACCTGCCCGTCCCCTCCGGCTGCCCCGACGGCTTCAAGGTGCTGCTGCGCCAGTGCTGGTGAGTGCGCCCGAGGGGGGGGACACCCCGTGGGGACACCCCATGGGCACAGGGACGCGCCATGGGGACATCCCACAGGGACACCCCATGGGGACACTGTGGGCACAGGGGTGCTTTATGGGGACACCCCATGGGGACCCTCCACGGGGACACCCCATGGGAACAATGACCAGGGACACCCCTACCTTCAGGGGGTGACACCATGGGTCAACCCCCGCCCAGACACCCTAGGGATCACCACGGGGACCTTCCCCCGGGCACCTTGGGGACCTTCCAGTGGCACCCCAACACCGGGGGACCCCATCCTATTGCCCCTCCCCTGGCTGTCCCCATACCTGGGGGCCGTACCCATGGGGTGCCAGGCTGGGGGTGCACCCAGCACCTCGGTGGGTGCTGCGTCCCGTGCACCCCTCCCCGCCCGCGGCCCCAAAAGGGTCCCCCAGCACCCAGCGCCGTGCCGACCCCCCCCCAGGAACAGCAAGCCCCGGAACCGGCCGTCCTTCCGGCAGATCCTGCTGCACCTCGACATCGCCTCCGCCGACGTCCTCTCCACCCCCCAGGAGACCTACTTCAAATCCCAGGTACCCGGCGGCACCCTGGGGACACCCCAGCACCACCCCCAGCACCCCGGGGTCACCCAGCGCCATGGGGGCACCCAGTGCCATGGGGACACCCAGTGCCATGGGGACACCAAGTGCCACGGGGTCACCCAGTGCCATGGGGGCACCCAGCACAATGGGGTCAACCAGCACCATAGGGTAACAGCACCCCAGGGTCACCCAGCGCCATGGGGGTCACCCAGTGCCACGGGGACACCCAGCACAATGGGGACACCCAGTGTCATGGGGACACCCAGCACCTTAGGGTCACCCAGCACAATGGGGTCACCCAGTGCCACGGGGACACCCAGCACAATGGGGTCACCCAGTGCCATGGGGATACCCAGTGCCATTGGGGCACCCAGCACCCTAGGGTCACCCAGTGCCATGGGGACACCAAGTGCCATGGGGTCACCCAGCACAATGGGGACACCCAGCACCATAGGGTAACAGCACCCCAGGGTCACCCAGTGCCATGGGGGTACCCAGGGACCCTCAGCACCCCAGGGACCCCGAGCCCTGCAGGACACCCCCTCCACGTCCCATGGCCATGCTGGGGCAGTCGGTGCCTGCGGCTGCTGGGGGGGATCCCAAGGGATCCCTGCCCATATCCCAGTGCTCAGGTGGCCATGCCCAGTATATCCCAGTGCCTGGAATTGCCATGCCCAGTATATCCCAGTGTTTAGGTGGTCATAGCCAGTATATCCCAGTGCTCAGGGGATCCAAGCCCAGTACATCCCAGTGCTCAGGTGCCCGTGCCCAGTACATCCCAGTGCTCAGGTGCCCGTGCCCAGTACATCCCAGTGCTCAGGTGCCCGTGCCCAGTACGTCCCAGTGCCCCCAGTGAGTGGTGCCGCGTGCCGCAGGCGGAGTGGCGGGAGGAGGTGAAGCTGCACTTCGAGAAGATCAAATCGGAGGGGACGTGTCTGCACCGCCTCGAGGAGGAGCTCATCAACCGCCGGCGCGAGGAGCTGCGGTGGGCATGGGGGCACGGGGACGGGGGGACATGGGGACACGGGACATGGGACATGGGACATGGGACATGGGGACATGGGAAATGGGGACACGGGACATCATGGGGACACGGGGACATGAGGACAAGAGGATATGGGGGCATGGGGAGGTGGTGACATAGGGATATGGGGACGTGGAAATATGGGGACGCAGGGACATGGGGATGTGGGGACATAGGGACATGGGGATATGGGGATGTGGGATGGAGATACAGGGACATGGGGACTCAGGGACATGGGGACACAAAGACGTGGGGACATGAGGACATGAGGACACAGGGACAAGGGGACTTGGGGCACAGGGACAAGGGGACATGGGGACTTGGGGCACAGGGACATGGGGACATGGGGAGATGGGGACATGGGGCACTGTGGTGCCAGTAGCAGAGGGATACCAGGGGTAGGAGTATCTGGGGAGGGGATGCCGGGGTAGGGAGAGCCTTTGGGTGCCTTACATGGGGTGGAGGGGCTGTGGGGGGCTGTGGGGTTCCCATGGGGTTCCTATGGGGTTCCTGTGAGGTTCCTGTGGGGTTCCTATGGGGTTCCTATGGGGTTCCTGTGGGGTTCCTGTGGGGTTCCTATGGGGTTCCCATGGGGTTCCTATGGGGTTCCCGTGGGGTTCCCGTGGGATTCCTATGGGGTTCCCATGGGGTTCCTGTGAGGTTCCCGTGGGGTTCCTATGGGGTTCTCGTGGGTTTCCTATGGGGTTCCTGTGGGGTTCCCATGGGGTTCCTATGGGGTTCCTATGGGGTTCCTGTGAGGTTCCTGTGGGGTTCCTATGGGGTTCCCATGGGGTTCCTATGGGGTTCCCGTGGGGTTCCTATGGGGTTCCTATGGGGTTCCCGTGGGGTTCCCGTGCTGACGCCCAGCGCCCCCGAACCAGGCACGCGCTGGACATCCGGGAGCACTACGAGCGGAAGCTGGAGCGCGCCAACAACCTGTACATGGAGCTGAGCGCCCTGATGCTGCAGCTGGAGCTGAAGGAGAAGGAGCTGCTCAGGTCAGCAGGACCCCCCCAGAACCCCCCCAAAACCCCCCCCCAAGCACCCCCCCAGCACCCCAAGCGTCCCCCGTAGCCGGGTGCTGTGGGGTAGGGGGGGTCCCCAGGTCACAGCCGCATCCACGCCACCCCCGAGCCCACGGGCACCCCTTTACCTGCACCGTGGGCACCCCTTAGGGTCAGCCCGTGGTTATAGGGTCCCTATAGGGCAGCCCTTACCTGCCCCCGGTGGCCGCATCCAGCTCTGTCCCATGGGTGTCCCGTGGTCGTTGCCATTCCCAGTTTCCCCCCCCGTGGCCACCCCATGGGGAACCCCATATCCATCCCATGGCCTCCCCCTTGACCCTTGCCACCCCTACATCCACCCCATGGCCTTGACTAACCCCATATGCACCCCATGGCTATAATCAACCCTATATCCACCCCATGGCCACCCTATGGTCGTTGCCAAGCCAAGATCCATCCCAAGACCCCCCCATGCCCCTTGCCACCCCATGGCCTTGACCAACCCCATATGCACCCCATGACGCTGGCCAATCCTATATCCACTCCATGGTCTTGACCAACCCTATACGACTATGGCCACCCCTATATGCACCCCATGGCCACCCTATGGTCATGGCCAACCCTATATCCACCCCATGGCCTCCCCCATGCCCCTTGCCATCCCTATATCCACTCCATGGCTTTGACCAACCCTATATGCACCCCATGGCTATAATCAACCCTATATCCACCCCATAGCCACCCTATGGTCATGGCCAACCCTATATCCATCCCATGGCCCCCACCATGCCCCTTGCCACCCCATGGCCTTGACCAACCCCACATCTACCCCGTGGCCTTGACCAACCCTATATGACTATGGCCACCCCTATATGCACCCCATGGCCACCCTATGGTCATAGCCAACCCTATATCCACCCCATGGCCTTGACCAACCCCATATGCACCCCATGGCTATAGCTACCTCTACATCTACCCAATGGCCTTGACCGACCCTATATCCACCCCATGGCCTTGACCAACCCCATACGCCCCCCCACCCCCACGCCCACCCCTACCTCCACCCCATGCCCTTGACCAACCCTACACCCACTCCGTGACCACCCCACACCCACGCCCAGCCCTATACCCACCCCAGCCCTTCCCCACCCTTACCCCGAGCCCTTCCCCAATTGGGGGGGGGTCGGTCCCGACGCGTGCCCCCCCCCAGGAGGGAGCAGGCGCTGGAGAAGCGCTACCCGGGGCTGTTCAAGCCGCGGGCGCCGCGGGGGCTCCTGCACGGGAACGCCGTCGAGACCCTCATCAAAAAGCGCAACGTCCCCCAAAAACTCTCCCCCCACGGCAAGCGGTGCGCCCCCCCGGGGGGGTTATGGGGTGGGGGGGGAAATCCCCTGGGGATTGGGGCCGTGGGGGGGGTGCTGGAGGGGGTGAGGTCAAGGTGCGGGGGGCTTTGGGGTGGGGAATGGGAATGGGGTTTGGTGGGGTGGGGGGGATGGGGGGGTGTTTGGGGGATGGGGGGGGCTTTGGGGGGGTGGGGGGGCGAGGTGGGACACCGGGGTCTCATTGGGGTGGGGGGGGGTCTTGGGTGACTCGGTCCTTTGGGGGGGGCTCTGGGGGTGCAGGTCCCTGGGGATGGGCTCTTGGGGGGGGTGTGCAGGTCCCTGGGTTCCTTTTTGGGGGGGGCTTTGGGGTTGCAGGTCCCTGGGGATGGGCTCTGGGGGGGGGGGGGTACAGGTTCCTAGGTCCCTTTTTTTTGGGGGGGGGCTCTGAGGGTGCAGATCCCTGGGTCCCTTTTTTTTTGGGGGGGGGGCTCTGAGGGTGCAGATCACTGGGGGTGGGCTCTGGTGGGGGTTGCAGGTCCCTGTGTCCCTTGGGGGGGTGGGGTGCAGATGCCCAGAGTCCTTTTTTTTTTTTTTTTTGGGGGGGGGGTCAGTTCTGGCCCCCCCCATGCGCCTGGATCCCTTTGGATCCCCTTGGAGAGCTCCCATGGGCGCACACCCCCTCGGGGTACTGGGGGGCGCGTTTTGGGGGCGCATCACCCACTTGCGAAAGGAATGACGGTGTTGGGGGGGGGGGTGCTGCTGTGTCCCCCCCCCATATGTGTGTGTGTCCCCCCCCCCCCTCCAGCCCTGACATCCTGAAGCCGGAGGTGCTGCTGCCCAAGCTGGACGCGGCCATGGCGCAGGTGACCCTCCCCGGCTGCCCCAAGGGCCCCCCCTCGCCGGGGCGCAGCCGCCGAGCCAAAGGGCGCCACCGTAAAGCGGGGGGGCCCCGGGGGGGCTGCGGGGAAGCCGGTCCCGAAACCGGACCCCCCCGAGGTCTTCCCGGCCCCCCCCCGGCCACCGCCGGCCCCGATCTCCTCGGGGGCACCCTGGAGGCTGTGGGACCCCCCCCCGCCTCCGTGCCCGATGTGGGGCCGGGGGGGGCGGAGGGTACCCAAGGGGTGCCCCCCCCGCAGCCCCCCACCCCCGGGGAGCCTGAGCGGGACAGCGGGGCCGCCCGGGGGGGGCGAGGGGGGGCCGGGCAGCATCTCACCCCCGCGGCGCTGCTGTACCGGGCGGCCGTCACGAGGGGCCAGGTGAGTGGGGGGGGGCTTATTTGGGGGGGGTCCCTTATTTTTTTTTTGGGGGGGTCCCTTATTTTTTGGGGGGTGTCTGTTATTGTTTTTTGGGGGGGTCTCTTATTTTGGGGTGGGGTTCCCTTATTTTGGGGAGGGTGTCCCTTATTTTGGGGGGATGTCTGTTATTTTTTTTAAGGGGGGGGTCCCTTATTTGGAGGGGGTCCTTTATTTTTGGGGGGGAGTCCCTTATTTTTCTTTTGGGGGTCCCTTAATTTGGGGTTGTTCTTTATTTTGGGGGGGGTGTCCCTTTTTTTGGGGGGGGTATCCCTTACTTGGGGGGGGTCCTTATTTTGGGAGGGGTCCCTTATTTTTTGGGGTGTGTCCTTTCTTTGGGGGGGGGCTGTTCCCTTATTTTTTGGGGGCGTCCCTTATTTTGGGGGGGTGTCTTATTTTTTTTGGAGGGGGTCCCTTATTTTTTGGGGGGGGGTCCCTTATTTTAGGGGAGGTTGGAAATTAGGGGGAGGGGAGAAGACCCCCCCAGGATCCAGCCCAGCATTGGGGGGGGGATGGGTCAAACAGACCAGGGTCCCTTCTTGGAGGGGGGGCATTTCGGGACCCCTGGGTCCATCTCGGGGGTCTGGGGGTGGTCTGGGGGGGGTCTGGGGGCAGCCAGAGGCCCCCACGTCCCCCCCCCATGCCCCCAGAAGCGGGGGGTGTCGTCGGAGGAGGAGGAGGGCGAAGTGGACAGCGAGGTGGAGCTGCCGCTGCGGCAGAGGTGGGTGCTGCCCCCCCCCCCAAAAAAAAAACCCAAACCCCTCCTGGAATCTGGACCCTATTTGGGGGGGGAGCAGAATCCCCCCACCCTCCCCGGGGGGGTACGTGGTGACCTGTGGGTGCTGGACCCCCCCAGGATGGGTGCTGGGGGTGTCAGTGGGTGCTGGGGTGCCCAGGATGGGTGCTGGGGGGTGTCCTTGGGTGCTGAGAACCCCCCCAGGATGGGTGCTGGGGGGTTTTTGGGTACCAGGACACCACAGATGGGTGCTGGGGGGTGCCCATGGGTGCTGAGAACCCCCCCAGGATCAGTGCTGGGGGGTTTCTGGGTACCAGGACACCACAGATGGGTGCTGGGGGGTGCCCATGGGTGCTGAGAACCCCCCCAGGATGGGTGCTGGGGGATTTTTGAGTACCAGCACACCACCGATGGATACCGGGGGGCACCCATGGGTGCTGAGACCCCCCCCCCCAGGATAAGTGCTGGGGGTTTTTGGGTACCAGGATTCCACAGATGGGTCCTGATGGGTGCCCAGACTCCCCCCCAGGATGGGTGCTGGGGGTTTTTGGGTACCGGAATGCTACAGATGGATACTGGGGGGCACCCATGGGTGCTGAGAACCCCCCCAGGGTCAGTGCTGGGGGGTTTTGGGTACCAGGACGCCATTGATGGATGCTGGGGGGCACCCATGGGTGCTGAGCCCCCCAGGATGGGTGCTGGGGGATTTTTGGGTACCAGCACACCACCTATGGGTGCCAGGGGGGCACCCATGGGTGCTGAGCCCCCCCCCAGGATGGGTGCTGGGGGATTTTTGGGTACCAGCACACCACCGATGGATGCCAGGTGGCACCCATGGGTGCTGACCCCCCCCATAACATTTCCCCCCCCACCCATAGGTGGCCCCCGGGCATGAGCAAGCGGCAGTCGCTGTCGACCTTCAGCTCGGAGAACTTTTCGGACGGGGACGGGGACGGGGACGGGGACGAGGGGCACACGAGCGAACCCTCGCACAGCGCCACCCCCGACGTGGGCAGCACCAACACGGACGAGCGCCCCGACGAGCGCTCCGAGGACCTCCTCTCGCAGGGCTCCGAGATCCCCCTGGACGCCCCCCCCCCAGAAGGAGCCGCCGGCCGTCGCCACGGGGGGGGCAGCCCCAAGGTGACCGCGCATCAACGCCCCCCCAGCCCACCCCCCCCGTCCCCTGTCCCTGTCACCGGTACCTTTGGGTGGGGAGGGGGTGACTCTTGGGTGGGGGGTCCTGGATACCTGGGTGGGGAGGGGGGGGCAGTGGGGTGCCCCAAATGTGGGTGCTGGGGGGCTCCGGGACCCCTGGATGGGGGCTTGAGGATGTCTGGGTGGGAAGGGGGTGACCTCTGGGTGGGGGCTCAGAGGGTCCTGGACACATGGGTGGGGAGGGGGGGTCAGTAGGGTGCCCCAAATGTGGGTGCTGAGGGGCTCTGGGACCCCTGGGTGGGGGTCCTGGACCCCCAGGTGGGTGGCACCGTGGATGGGGGGGGCAGTGGGGTCCCCAAATATGGGTGCAGAATGGGTGCTGGGGGGCTCTGGGACCCCTGGGTGGGGGCTCCGGGACCCCCAGGTGGGTGGCAGGGGATGGGGGGGGCAGTGGGGTGCCCCAGGGATGGGGGGTGGGGGGGGCTGGACCCATGGGTGGGGGCTTCAGGACCCCCAGGTGGGTGGTGGGTGACCCCTGGGTGGGGGCTCAGGGGGTGCTGGACCCCTGGGTGGGGGTCCTGGGCCCTTGGATGGGTGGCATCGTGGAGGGGGGGGCAGTGGGGTGCCCTAAATATGGGTGCTGAGGGGCTCTGGGACCCCTGGGTGGGGGCTCTGGGACCCCCGGGTGAGTGGCAGGGTATGGGGGGGGCAGTGGGGTCCCCCAAATGTGGGTGCTGAGGGGCTCCGGGACCCCTGGGTGGGGGGGCAGTGGGGACCCCAGGGCTGGGTGCAGACAGGGAGGGGTCCCTCAGAGCTCCCCCCCAAAAAAAACAGGGTCCTGTAGGAAAGGGGGGGGGGGCTCAGGGTTACCCCAGGACCAGCTGCCCCCCCCCCAGTTTGGGGTCTCCCTCTTCCACCTGCTCCTGGGGGACCCCAGAGCCCCCCCCCCAGGACTGGATACCACCTCAGGGCCCCCCCAGGAGGAAATAACAGGGGAGACCCCCCCCAGGACTGCACACCACGGGCGGGGGGGGGCTCAGCATCACTGGGGGGGGGCCAGGAGCATCCCCATGGCAGGGGGTGGGGACCCCAGAGGCCACATCCCACGGGTTACGGACCCCCCAGGAACAATTAAAACCCTGGGGGGGGTCCCAATGCCTCCCTCCCCCCCAGCCCTGTAGGGGGGGGGGGCTTGGGAGTGTCTGACCCCCCCCCCAAAATCTCCCCAGGTCTCCGAGGACTCGGACTGCGACAGCGCGGAGCTCGACCACTCGGGCAGCGGCGAGGGCCCCCCCCGGCCCGCAGCCCCCCCCGGCCTGTGACCTGCACCCCCCCACACCCCAAAAACCACCACCGCCACCCCCCCCCTCCTTGCACACCCCCCCCTCCACACACACACTTGTACAGCCCCCAAATATTTATATAAATATTTATCGATCTCTACAGAAAGCTCCGTGCTGTCTCTGGGGGGGGGGCATTGGGGGGGTATTTTTTTTGGGGGGGGTCTGTTAGCTCCTTGTGTTGGTGTGGGTCCTACAGGAATGGGGGGGGGGAGAAAATCTGCTGAAAGGGGGCAGGGGGAATGAGGGGGGAGGAGGGAAGGGGCTGAGCCCCTTCTGGGGGTGTCGCCACCCCTGTTACTGGGGGAACTGGGAGCACTGGGGAGGGCTGGGACCCCCCCATGGGGAATAATAAGGTGGGGGGGGCACCCACTCTCCCTCCACCCTTAGGTGCTGGTCCTTACTGGAAACCAGTACCCAAGAGCAGAAAGGTGGAGAAATGTGGAAAAGCCCCAAATTGGAGAGAAATGCCCCAAATTGGAGAGAAATCCCCATTTTTAAACCCAAAAACACCCCCGAACCCCCCCCCAAAGCCCATTTATCAGAGGGGGGGGGGGCCCTACAGGGAGAGGGTTCAAAGAAAGACGGAGACAGGCAGGTCCATTAACCAAAATATGCTCCAGTTTCTATTCACAAGGAAAAGCTCCAGTCCATCTTTTTATTATTATTATTATTTTTTTTTTGAAAAATTGCTCCTGACGTTACAGAACTAAACTGAAATGTTTTCGTCGTCTTCTCTTCCACTCGTTCAACATTTCATGACAAAAACAGAAACTTCATGAGCCGAAAAAGGGGGAAAAAAAGGGGGACGGGGGAAGGGGGGAAGGTGAAGGTGTGTGGGGTGAGGGGGGGAAAATTGGGGAGAAAAAGAGAGAAAAAAGCTTTTATAAAACTAAGATCTGGGGCTCGGCGGGTAGGGGCCGAGCGGAGAAAAAAAAAAGGAATTAAAATGCTGTAATTAAAAAAAAAAAAAACAAAACCGGAAAAACAAAAAACAAAAAACCAACCAAAACAACCTGGTGAGTGATGGAGGAACCGAAAAATTTACAAACTAGTTTTTTTTTGTTTGTTTTTTTTTTTTTGTTTTTTTGTTTTTTCTCCTTTTTTAAAACCTGGGGCTGGCTGCTAGGGGGCTACACAGATGGATGGTGAGGTGAGGCCGAGGGTCCGCGGGCGGCGCCGGGGCCCTAGCTGCTTCCCATGCCCCCGGTCTCGGAGGAGAGCCTGCAACGAAGAAGAGGGCGTCAGAGGGGGGGGCTGGGGGGGTGAGAGAAAGGTTTTTTGGGGAAAAAAGAAGGGTTTTAGGGAAAAAAAAGAAGGATTTTTGGGGAAAAAGGGTGGTGGTAGGGGGAAAAAAAGGGGTTGGGGGGATGAGGAGGAGGGGAGGAAGGGTTTTCCCCCCCCCCCAGGAGGGTGGTGGGGACCCCCCCGTGGTCAAAGCTGGGGTTATGCGAAAGCAGCATAAAGAGGGGGGGCTCAGGGTTGTGCCCCCCCCCACTGGGAGCTCTGTGGGGGGACCCCAGGGACCCCCCGAGTGCAGGCAGAGGGGGGCAGCGGGGAGGGGAGGCAGCGAGCTGGGGGGGCAGAACCCAAAGAGGGGGGGGCTTAGGGAAATTAGGGAGGGTCGGGGGGGGGCACAGGGAGGTGGGGGGGGCACAGAGCAGCAGCTCCAAGCGAGGGGGGGGGGGCGACAGCAGCAGCGCCCAAAGGAACCAGGGGAGGGGGCAGCGCGCGTGGCCCCCAGGAGGGTGGCAACGAGCCCCAAAAAATTAAATAAAAATAAAAAAATAAATTAAAAAAATTAAAAAAATAAAAAAAAGGGGGGGGACCCCCGCTGGGCCCCCCCCTCCCCACCCGCAGCACAGATCTAGCAGAGCAGATTCTCACCGTGGCAACTTTATTACAGGTACAGACAGAAAAAGAGACAGGCGAGGCCGCGAGCCCCCCCGCGGGCACCCGACCCGGAATGCAATTAAATCCAGACTCGTTTATTCGGTAACGAACCCCCCCCACCCCCCCCTCCCCATCCCAACATCCCACGACCCCCCCCCGCACCGCGATTGCAACCGAATTCCTAAAAAATATAAAAAAAAAAAAGAGGGGAAAAGGGGGAAAAAAAAAAAAAGCGAGGGTTGTAAGCTGGAGGAGTCAAGGAGGGATGGAAGGGGCAGCGGGCTGGCAAAAATAAAGGAAAAGTTAAAAAATAAAAATAAAAAAAAGCAGAAAAATGGCTACGAAACACCCCAAAAAAAATAAAAAATAATAAAAATATAAAAGAAGAAAAAAAAAGAGGAGGAGGAAGGAAAACCCGCAAGGAACCCCAAAATGAAATTTAGGAAACCCCAAATTAAATTTGTTTTCTGCTCGAGTCTCCTCTAGGGGGGCTCCGCGTTGTGTTATCCCCCCCCCAAAACCTCCCCCAGCCCTTTTTTGTTTGTTTTTTTGTTTTTTTTTTGGGAGGGGGGGGCTCAGTAGGGAGAGAACCTCTGCTTCTCCGCCTTGAGTTTGTTAGAGACACACGGCACGGCCGGGGCGGAGGCGCCCTTAGCAGCAGACACAACATTTAGAGCCAGGAGAGGGACAGGTTTCATGCCAAGCAGACTGGAGACACAAGGGGCGGTCGGAAGAGGGTTGGGGAGGCTGGCGGGTGCTTCGGAGCCCCCCCCCGTGGCGAGCGAGGGGGTGGTGGTGGAGGAGGAAGAAGAAGAAGGGGTGGAGGGTTGAGAGAGGTTGATGCTGAGGTGGTCAGGGATCGTGACGGAGGCTGCCTGGGAGGAGGGTTTAGCGCTTTCTAAACTGTAACAGAGGAGAAAAGGAACAAAAAAAATAAAAATAAAATAAAAAAAGAAAGAAAAATTAAAAAAAAAATGAAAAAAAAAGGGTGGGTGGGTGGCTGGCAACAGCGCGCGAGAAGCACAGGACAAACAGCGTCAAACCGCACGGGGTTGGGGAGGGGGGGGGGCACAGGGATAACGGCACCCCCAGGGGGACAATGACGCCTGGAGGGGGACGGCGACACCCCCAGGGGGACAACGGCACCCTAAGGGGGGACAGCGACACCCCCAGGGTCCCCAAAAATGCGGGACTCCCCCCTGCACACACCCCCAGCCCCGTGTCGAGCCCTCGGTCTCGACACAGAGCCGAGAAGAGGGGGGGCGGCCGCTGCTCCTGGCCCCCCAGGGGGCAACCCCATAGGTTTGGGGGCTCGGCTCCTCCACCCTAAGCCCCCCCCCAAGGGGCTGAGGATATGGGGGGAGCAGTGGGGGCACCTCACCAGCCCTAAATGCTGCCGCTCCCAGCCCCAGATCACTGTGGGGTCCGCACCCTGCACGCATTGGGGTGGGTTCAGAGCGGTCCTGGGGGGCTCAGCCCCCACCCCCAAAACCCTGCCAGACCCCACAGGGGAGCCAGAGGTCCCCACGCAGGTTTGGGGTGCCCCAAAAATGCTCGGGGGCTGCTGCTCCGAGGCAGGAGAGCAGCACCAGGCGCTGCGGGATCCACAGGATCCCCCCCACATCCCTGCTGGGGACGCGGCCCCGAGCCTGGGGGTGCTCCCCCGAGCCCCCACCCCATAAAAAAATCAAATCACAGCACCAGCGACGGGTCCAAAGCTCACGAACCCGCTCACGAGGCCCCCGTGGCCTCAGCCACATCCTGAAGCCCCCCGGAGCCCGGGAGGCGATGGCACGGGGACAGCGGGGAAAAGGGGGGAAGGAAGGGGCACGGAAAAAGGGGAAGGGGGAAGGTTGAAAAATAAATCAAAATAAAAAAAAACGGGGGAGGGAAGCCCCTTCCCCTCACGCTGGGGGGCACGAGGGGGGTCCCAGCCCTCCCCCCCCGCGCCGCCTCGTTAGGGAAGCCTCACCTGACATTAATTAGATACTGGGCCAAGCTAATGCTGGCTGCGGAGCCGGTGATGGTGACCTGCCTGTCGGTGGAGCCCTCCACCGGGTTGGCAATTTTGATCTGCGCCCCCGACATCTGGCGGATCTCGTTGATCTTGGCGCCCTGGCGCCCGATGATGCAGCCAATCAACTGCGGGGACAACGCGGCTTCGTTAGCGGCCGGCTTCGTTAGGGCGCCGTGACCCTCATTAGGGCACCCCCAACCTTCATTAGGGTACCCCAATCCTCATCGGGACACCCTGCTCTTCATTAGGGCACCCTGCCCATCATTAGGGCATCCCAATCCTCATCAGGACACCCCAACCCTCATTAGGGCACCTTGATCCCCACCAGGGCACCCCCAACCCTCATTAGGGTACTCTGCTCCTCATTAGGGCACCCCAATCCTTATCAGGGCACCCTGCTCTTCATTAAGGCACCTGGATCCTCAACAGGGCACCCCAATCCTCATCAAGACACCCTGCTCTTCATTAGGGCACCCTGACCCTCATTAGGGCACCTCGACCCCCACCAGGGCACCCCCGACCCTTATCAGGGCACCCTGCTCTTCATTAGGGTACCCCAACCCCCATTGGGACACCCTGCTCTTCATTAGGGCACCCTGATCCTCATTAGGGCACCCCCGATCCCCACCAGGGCACCCCGACCCTCATCGGGACACCTTGACCCCCACCAGGGCACCCCAACCCTCATTAGGGCACCCTGCTCTTCATTAGGACACCCTGACCCCCACCGGGGCACCCTGCTCCTCATTAGGGCACCCCCAACCTTCATTAGGGTACCCCAATCCTCATCAAGACACCCTGCTCTTCATTAGAGCACCCTGACCCTCATTAGGGCATCCCAATCCTCATCAGGACACCCCCAACCTCCATTAGGGCACCTTGATCCCCACCAGGGCACCCCCAACCCTCATTAGGGTACTCTGCTCCTCATTAGGGCACCCCAATCCTTATCAGGGCACCCTGCTCTTCATTAAGGCACCTGGATCCTCAACAGGGCACCCCAATCCTCATCAAGACACCCTGCTCTTCATTAGGGCACCCTGACCCTCATTAGGGCACCTCGACCCCCACCAGGGCACCCCCGACCCTTATCAGGGCACCCTGCTCTTCATTAGGGTACCCCAACCCCCATTGGGACACCCTGCTCTTCATTAGGGCACCCTGATCCTCATTAGGGCACCCCCGATCCCCACCAGGGCACCCCGACCCTCATCGGGACACCTTGACCCCCACCAGGGCACCCCAACCCTCATTAGGGCACCCTGCTCTTCATTAGAGCACCCTGACCCTCATTAGGGCATCCCAATCCTCATCAGGACACCCCCAACCTCCATTAGGGCACCTTGATCCCCACCAGGGCACCCCCAACCCTCATTAGGGTACTCTGCTCCTCATTAGGGCACCCCAATCCTTATCAGGACACCTCAACCCTCATTAGGACACCCCCAACCTCGTCAGGACACCCTGCTCTTCATTAGAGGACCCCGACTCCCACCGGGGCACCCTGCTCCTCATTAAGGCACCCCACTCCTCATTAGGGCACCCCCATCCTCACCAGGACACCCCGCTCTTCATTAGGGGACCCCACTGTTCATTGGGGCACCCCAACCCCTTTCCCTGCCCACTATCGCGGGGGGGGGTCACCTGCAGGGACAGGGCTGGAAGGTTTTAACCCCCCCCAGGAATGTTTAAAATGGCAGAGAAATGAGCAAAATCTGCCCTAAATCCAGCTGGGAGCAGGAGGAGATGCCAGAGGGGCGCAGCCATCACCCGTGGGGGGGCCACGAGCCTCTTTTGGAGTGTCTGGGGGGGGTCACCCCACCCTGCCTTCATCGGATGCCCAAAGAGGGGCGGATTTGGGCCCCCCCCCGCCACCCCCTTGTGTCCCCAGGGGTCACTCACATCATTTGGAATGGTGAGTTCGTGGGAGGTGGTCTGAGCAGACGCATCCAAACCTGCTTGGGAGACACAGACAGAGACAGGATGAGGTCAGAGGGGGGGGGGTCGTCGTGGGGGGGTCACGGGCACCGCCACCGCCGCAGGCCGGCCAGCATTTGCTGCTGGCGTCACCTCCAGGGCTGCTCGGGGAGGAGGGGAGGGGGCAGAGCAAGCGGTGAGGTTCCTCGAGCCCCCCACCCACCCCCCAGCAACCCCCCCCAACCACAATTTACCCCCCCCCCTCCCCATAAAAACCCACATTTATTTTGGCACCACGGGCTCTTCCTTCCCGCGGGGACAACCCCGCTGGCCGGGGCAGGCAGCACGGGGCTGCTCGGGCATTTAATTAATTATTATCATTATTAGCAGTAATTAATAATCATTTTTCCCCCTTCCCCTGCTATGGGGGGGGCAGCAGGAGCCTCGAGACCTCACCGGGGATGGGGTGGGGGGGGGATGTTTTTTGGGGAGGGCGCAGCGGCGTGGCCATGCCGGTGAGGGCGACGCTCCCCCCAGCACGAGGGCTCAGCTGCTGGCTGCTCCAGGAGGGGGGGGGGAAGCCCCAAAAAGTTCCCCCCCCCCCAAAAAAAAAAAAGCCCACAGGCTGAGCCCTCCACCTCCATTCCGCTCTCCAGAGCCCGAGCTGACTCCTTCTGGGGGCTGTGGGGCCGAGGCAGGCGGCACCTCCAGCCCTATTGCGGCTTCCCCTGGCCCCCCCCCGACCCCCCCAACCCGTGCAGCGTTTCACAGGGAGAACGAGAGCCCCGGGGCGGTGTGAATAAACCCAAGAGAAGAACTACAGGTTTGGTGTTTTAATCATTACCCCAATAGCCTTTCACCTCTGGAGAGCTGGATTCAATGCCTGTTAAGATACAAGGGACAATGAGTTCGGCCGCCTCAGCTTTACAGCCCCAAGGGGGGGGATTTTTATTTTTTTTTTAATTTTTTTTAAGCCATTTTAGCGAGTTTGCAGCGAATTTGGCACAACCCAGCAGCTGCCTGCTCAGGACTGGAGTAGCCGGAGGGGAGAAAAGGGGGGTGCTGCAGGCTTGGGGGGAGCTCCCGGGGCGCA